AGTCAAATTAGGATAAAGGCATGATAATTTTAATTGGCGGAGAAGGGAGAGAAGTGGTGATGGGATTACTGTGCTAGCTAGCAGTACCACAGTAGATTTTACCTCCTCAGCAGCTTTTAGCTTCATACTTATATAAAGATTTGAATCAGCTCTATCTCCAACCTAGAACAAGCAAACACAAAATACTTAATGAGGTATAATACATAGGAAAGCCATTAAATTTTAGTTAGATAAAGTAGCTTTTTTTTTTTAATCGAAACGAACCTTATTACAGCTAACTTTGAGGAATGTACCTAATGTATCTAGGAGACTTTAACATAGAAATACATAACCTTTGGAAATCATTAATTAGATATAGCTTATAGTCCTGTGCTATCATCTAAAATCTGAGTAAACAAAGATAACAAGGAACAAAAAAACCAGGGATCTAACATTCCCTCCTCCCTTCAGGGCTGAGGAAACTAGAAGGATTGCTTGCACTGCTTCTAGAGCAGTCTTAAAAGATCTATTAAACTCAAACTTGTTCCTAAGACAAAGAACTGTGCAGCTCTTGTTGGCAATAAACATTTGCAGAGAGTGAAACAATTTCTTTAGTATTTTGTAATATAAAATCGATTTTACACAGGAAGACTTATACATGAAGTAAGCAAAACCAGGGAAATAATATATACAATGATTTCAATAATCTAAATGCAAAGATTTGCACTGCAACTTATCTGAGTTCATCTGCTTTAGTTTTTTTTAAATTTACATTAATTATAGTTGTCATTGTGTATACCAGAGATGTCAAACTCCTTGCCTGCAAAACTTCAGCAGGAAGCAGAATAAAATGTAATCAGAGAATATTCAACAAAGATAATGTTAATTTGTGGTTTTCTAAGTCAATATGTGGCTCCCAGGGATTCATTTCTACTACTGGTTTGCCTGGTTCTGCACCTGTTCAAAGAAATTTTCCTGTGTTTCTCTGAATCCCTCATATTCATCCTTTTTCACAGGGACAAAAGTGTTCCAGCACACTCTCCTCTATGCACTGTACGACTGAGCTACTCTGGTCTTCTTTCTCTTCCTCAAAAACAACAGGTCATCTCCAGACTCCTCACCTTTTCACAGGCAATCTCCCATGCCTGGATTTCTCTCTTTCCTCACTGGATTTCACAGGAAGCCTTTCCTAGTCCTCCCCATTGCTAATGCTTTCCTCCTCAAGAAATTAACTTTCATTTACATTATACGTATCTTGTATGCAAAAATTTTTTGCATATTTTCTCCATTAAAATGTAAGCTCTTTTAAGGCAGGAACCATGTTTTTCTTCCCTCTCCTTTTCTTTTTTGGTATCCCCAACACTTAGCATAATGCCTGGAACATAGCAGCATTTATTAATAAATGCTTGTTGACCAACTGACATTCACCTATACCACAATTTACTCAGCCATTCTCCATTTTATGTGAACTCATTTTATTTCTAGTTTTTTGCTATCACAAAAATGAACCACTACCTAATGTGTAAGACCAAATCTCAGCGTCCCAGGAAACTCTAACCTGTATTGGTATAGGGAATTCCTCACCAGGAGTTCCCTATACCAATGGAATCCCAGGCCCAGCTATAAAAAAGAACTGCTATTTTAAAATTCATGTTCCATGAGTCATCAGTAAAGAACCTGAGCAACTGCCTGTATAATGTACAACAAATATTAAGAATGGGGTCATGGGAGTTCTGTGATTGGATTGTGTTGGTTTTTATAGGAAAAGACAACGAATACAATCTGACTGAAATACACACAATCAATATGCCTAAGACAATTTCTGTGGAAATCTGGCTCCCTTATTCAGATTCTAAGGAAAGACATGCTACTCTAAAAATGGGCATTATCACTGTCATTGTGTATTTTATTCTTGTGGGCAAAAAATGACTCAATATAGATCTTTTTTCTCTCTAGTCTGCTTTCATAGACTTTTTCATTTTACATTATTAAATACTAAATCCTGCAAATAAAAACAGCAAAAATAGAAGGGCTTTACATTTCAGGGTTGACCTATTAGATTAACCCTCTTTGGTACAGCCTCCTTAGTTGCTACTATTCTCATGTAATAAAGTAGTGGTGTAATAGAACAAAAAACAACATTGAATTTGTAGCCAGAATACCTGGGGTGAAGTTCTGCAAAGCTGCTTGTTTTTACAGCCATCTTACTCCTGAATAATGCATATAAAATCCAAATTTGATATCATTGATTGTAAATGAATCAAATATCCCTGAATTACTATAAATACCTCACATTTCAGTCTTATTGTAGGTCAACTGTTCATTCAGACTCACCACTACTAGCAAGCAGCTGTTTTCTCACCTACCTGCCTGGGAAACACAAACAGGCCATTCAAGAAATACATACAAAGCAAGAGTAAGTATTATTAAAAGAGCTAATTAACCTTATTTCCCCAATTCCTTGTCTAACAATCTATATTACAAACCACTATCCTCTGTGTTAGGAGAGAAAAACCTGAGGTAAATCCATTACAGATACATTTCCTGATAAATACCTGCAAAGCAGCCAAGCAGAAACAATGTTTTTTGCTTAATGAAAACACTGGAGGTTAACTTCTCCAAACCAGGAGGGTACAGAAGGGTCAGAGAGATGCCTTTAAGCAGAGTATTGCTGTTATAGAAACCTGGATTTACTCATGACATGCTTTCTCTCTTTAACAACTCTCCCAGATAAACCAAGAAATAACCAATTCCTGGGTGTTCTTAGCACAGTTCTATAACATACCTTTGATTCTCACTCGGCAAGTTGTGAAAAAATAAAAAACAAAAAAACAAAAACAAAAATCACAGCAGAAAATATGTGCTGGGAATATAACCACAGGCCTTCAGATTGTCTTTCTTTGTCAGCAACTCCAACCTTTCTAATAGGAAATAATTTGCAACAAAAAGCAACAGTGGCAAGCTAATGGGAAGGAAGAAAATTATGTTACACAACATCCATTCCTAGCAAAGACTTCACAAGGAGTAAGATAATGTATGTGGAAGCTGAAAGTATGCATAGTGTGTGGTGAGGTAATATTACAGTTTTGTAGAGTATTTAAAATGAAAACTGCTTATTTCCTATGGGTCAAATTATTTTAATGGAGACATCATAATACCTGTAAAATCGCCAGGCCTGGCCTGAAACCCGGGACTTGCTCCCCCATTTGAGTAACTTGGCTCTTCAATCTCTCTCTTACTTGCCTAGGGAGAAAAATAAAATGTTAGCCCCTTAACTAAATTTTTTTTTATTTTTTAAAAGTATTTTATTTTAGTTTTCCCCAGTAACATGTAAAAATAATTTTTAACATTCATTTTTGACAACTTTTTTGAGTTCCAAATTCTCTCCCTTCCTCCTTCCCACCCCCCTATTGAGAAAGCAAGCAGTTTGATAGAAGTTATATATGTATAGTCACATTAAACATATCCCTATTATTCATGTTGTGAAAGAAAACAGACAAAAAAAACCTCAAGGAAAAATAAAATTAAAAAAAGTATGCTTCAATCTGTATTCAGACACCATCAGCTCTTTCTCTGGAGATGGATGATCCTTCAGAGTTGTCTTGGATCGCTGTATTGCTAAGAACAGCTAATTCAAAGAAGATCATCTTACAATATTGCTGTTACTTTGCATCAACCCATGCAAGTCTTTTCAGGTTTTTCTGGGAGCATCCTGTTCATCATTTCTCACAGCACAATAGTATTCCATTACATTCATATACTACAACTTGTTCAGCCATTCCCCAACTGATGGGCATCCCCACAATTTCTAATTCTTTGCCATCACAAAAAGAGCTACTATAAATATTTTTGTATGTGTGGGAAAAAAGCTGACCTTCTTAAAATAAAGCCATTTTGCAATTAAAATGGGAAAGAAAAAGATCATTTAAGTCTGAGGGAAAGTCACATGGTCCAGGTGGTTGAGATACTAGTTCAGAGGCCATTTAATCTACATTTCTACAACACCCATCAAGGCCCTGGGCTGCTTTGTCAATATTTCTTGGGCTCCACTCTGGCAACACGGGTTAGAAGCAGGCAGCCATTAAGAGCCAGATTCATTGAATACCCCATTCCACTGTCCCAAACTGACAACTCAGCAACAAAAAACAACGACTGTCACTGAGAGGTAATGAAGGGAAAAGTGGTTTGATAGATGCTAGTACAATCCAAGCATCTCACAGCACAAGGTAAAAAGGAGGCAATGAAGGAATGAGGTAATTAATCCATCCCACAATCCTTAACCTATTAAGCACAATTAACAGTGGGAATATGTGATAAATGTTACTTCATAAAGACGTGAAACAGAATCATTAGCACAGATTTGGGGGAACAAAAGGTTCAAAATGTAGACTCAACTCCTAGTACCATCCGTAATCTGACTCAAAAGAGTCTAAGGACATTTTTCTAGGCTGGAACAGTAGATGAATGAGTGGCATTCACAATGTTACCCCAACCAATAAACCCCCCACCTCCAACCCAGCACCCTGGAAACTAATCAATATCTAAGCTAATGTTTAGGCTGCTCAAACTCTGGATAAAACATTTCACCAGGTGGAGGACCCCAGGACTAAACTGAGGCCTTGAACATCCTATTCACTTACCTTTCTCAACAGAACTCCTCCCATTCACTGATACAATACCTGAACTCATTTGCCAATAGACAGCAAACTTGCTCTGTGCATCCCGCCCCCCCCATACCGATACCGTCCTTCCATTGCTAAACATCAGTAACTCCTGCTACCTATACCCTCTCATTCTCATCTACCTCAACAGTAGCCCTATAATGTCTCACTCAAGATCTACCTCAATCCTATCCTACTGCCAATAAACCATTTCAGATCTACCTGCCCCCTTCACTGTGCCCTCTGGAACTCTGGGTCAATAATTGACAAAATTCCCTAGATTTAAGACAACTTCTGATTCTACTTCCGTTTTCAGGCATTCACGGACACTTGCCTCCCCTAAGCATCCTTTTCACTACTAGCTGCATCTACTGTCATGATTCTCTGGAATTCTGCCCTCCTGGAAGAGGAGTCAGAATACTCTTCCACAGATGTTGGTGGCTGTTAGCAATAGACCCCATTCTCTGTCCTGGGCCCTCTTTTCTCTCTATTTTCTCTTACTTGGTGAGCTTATTAGCTCCAATTGGTTCAATTATCATCTCTGTGAAATCCTAATGCCTCTTTTGACCTCTGGTCACACATAAGCAATTGCTTACTGAGCATTTCAAACAGGATGTTCCATAAGTACCTCAAATTTAGCATATCCAAAAAGAAGTTAATTTACGCCCCC